TTTAGTTGTGATTACTATCACTTGTAATTTATCAGTTTTATAGGCATTTCATCCTTTGTTTTGATAAGTATTATGTAACGGATCGCCTGGCACCCCGACTGGGTACCTCCGTTAAAGGATGCTCCTAGCGCTTCCAGAGGACTCCAAGCACTGCAGCAGACACCACAACCACCGAATTGTAGGAGCATATGAGTGCTCTCAAGCATATGAATGCTGTAGACAGTTGAATAGGAACCATACGAATAGGTTTACTCTCCTAGCAGTCAAACTGGAACAGCATACAATAAATCCTTCCCCCAATAATGAGACGACACTTCACTTTGAGGGTTAAGCAGGAACTCTCTGTACTGTCACATACAGTCTCTTTTATTCCAATCCACAAACATAGTACAGCCCACAGGGCGTTACAAAACCACCAATCACATCACAGTTACATCCCACATATTCCCTCCCCTTTTCCTGAGAGGAAACTCAATTATACATACAGTTAAAACATACTTTCTACCCAACTTTCATAACTCCAAAACCATACATCACATTCACATAAAATTACATATTCACAATCAATCCATTCAGGGGAACAACATATTCAAAATGGCACAAATCAGACAAGGGGTTCAAAAGTTAGTAAAAAGTCCTTTGTGACTAAATGAAGCATGGCTTTCTGGCCCAAACCAGTTTCAGAGTCTTCTATCCTGGAGATAAGTAATTGAATTATCTCCCAGGATAGACACAAGACTCCATTAAGCACATGGTTGCAAAAAGACACAAAACACTTTAAAATACATAAAGTCACATTTACACATAACACACAGACATTTCACATATCCCCAGATAGCTCAGGTCTGAGCGCACATTATTAAGTGAATGGCGCTCAGACCACACAAATACAGTTTAATCACCATGGAGCCAAAGTCTTTACAGTCAGTTTCATACGAATGGGCTCCATGGGATTCCTATCTGGGGTATAACACATTCACATAAAGTCTGGTCCATAGTCCGAAGGCAAGAGGCGGGCAAGCAGCTTCACAATGGATGCTGTCCAGGAGGTGGGAGGGTCTGGGAGAGAGGATCTGCTGCTGATTGGCTGGAATGTGTCTGCTGACTGCAGGGCCGTCTTTAACGCGGGGCAAAAGGGGCAGCTGCCCCGGGCCCAGTTGCTCCTGGGGGGCCCAAGGCAGCTGCCTCTTGAGCCCCGCTGGCCACTGCCCACAAATTTGTGTCCCGAAGTTATCCTTCACCTTCACTATGCGAACGGCATTGCCGCATAGTGAAGGACTTACTTGGTGCTCCGCCTCCCGAACTCCCCTGCCATTTGTATGCCGCGCACGATGATGTCACGCGGAGGCGGAGTCACGGCAATGCTAGGGGCTGAGCTGGAGGGGGAAGGGGGGGGTGAGAGGGGAGGGAGGGGGGGAGTCCATCACCTCTTGCCCCCCCATGACAGGGGCAAGAGGTGAGACAAGGGGCACTGAGTGCCTGCTCAAAAAAAGTGCAGGAACGCTGTTCCTGCAGGACTCAAACCATAGGCGTGCCACGGGGATTAGGGTGTGCCCAGGCACACCCGGCACACCCCGTGCGCACGCCTATGAATACAATAACAATAACAACAACAACAAGTCTGGTCCAGAACTTCTTTATAATAACTTCATGTATAGACAGTCCAGGCAAATAGAGAAATTGGTACAATCCCATTCAGAACCAATATATTTAATAAAAATAATAATTTATTTACAAGAGAAATATAAAAAATATCCACATCACCAATCTGCATCACGACAACAGGTACAGCCCCTCTGCTGTAGGCTTGTAAATACATCCACTGGATAGGAAATCTTATATTTACACCCATAGGCGTGCGCACGGGGTGTGCCGGGTGTGCCTGGGCACACCCTAATCCCCGTGGCACGCCTATGGTTTGAGTCCACGCCTATGGTTTGAGCAGGAACGCTGTTCCTGCAGGCACTCAGTGCCCCTTGTCTCACCTCTTGCCCCTGTCATGGGGGGGCAAGAGGTGATGGATTCCCCATCCCCCCCCCCCCCCTCTCACCCTCCTCTCCAGCGCTCAGCCGCTGGGCGAGTTTTAAGGTTCCTGGCGGTCTGTTCTCTCGCTGGCTGTTGATGCCGGGAGCCGGAATATGACGCTATATTCGCCTCTAGTTTCAGTAGATACAGCTCATGGGCGAGAGGGAGCAGACCGCAGAGAGCTCCCTCGCCGCGGCTGAGCTGGAGAAAGGCGCCCGCCCCACTGGACCCCAGGGAAAAGGTAGGAGGCTGGGTGGACATTTGTTTTTAATTGAAAATATAATAATTTGTTCTTGTGTGTGAGTGTGTGTATGTGAGTGTGTGTATGTGAGTGTGTGTATGTGAGTGTGTGTGTGTATGTGAGTGTGTGTATGTGAGTGTGTGTATGTGTGTGTGTGTCTGTGTGTCAGTGAGTGTGTGTGTGTCAGTGAGTGTGTCAGTGAGTGTGTCTGTGTGTGTGAGTGTCTGTGTCAGTGAGTGAGTGTGTCTGTGTGTGTGTCAGTGAGTGTGAGTGTCTGTGTCAGTGAGTGAGTGTGTCTGTGTGTGTCTGTGTGTGTGAGTGTCTGTGTCAGTGAGTGAGTGAGTGTGTCTGTGTGTCAGTGAGTGTGAGTGTGTGTGTCTGTGTGTGTGTGTCTGTGAATGTGTGTGAGTGTGTGTCTGAATGTGTCTGTGTGTCTGAATGTGTCTGTGAGTAAGTGTGTGTACGCATATATATATGTATATATATATATATATATATATATACACACACACACACACACACGCAGAGCCGGCGCTATCTGAGTGCCGGCTCTGCTCTAAGCCTACATGGGCCGGCGGGGAGACCAAAAGATCTACCTCACCGGCCCACAGCAGCATGGAGGGAGGCAGGAGAGGACCCAGGGAGCTCTAGACAGAAGCTCCGCCAGGTTCCTCTCGCGATATCTGAGTGTTGCTGCGGCCCTGCAGGCTAGAGTTCACTCTCCACTGGACCACCAAGGATGGCACATGGCAGCAAGGATTTACTAATCTGCCAAATCCCTCCAAACATACAGCACACATATACAGCACCTACACACATACAGCTCACACACACACAGTACACTAACCGCACCCTCACAAACACACACAGCACCTTTAAAAAAAAAAAACGCAACACCCTCACACACAGCACACTAACAGCACCCTCACAAACACACACACACACAAACAGCACCCTCACAAATACACGACACTCACACAAACAGCACCCTCACAGGACAAACATACACACACAAACAGCACAGTCACAAACACACACACACAAACACCCTCACATCACACTAACAGCACCCTCACACACACATCACACTAACAGCACACTAACAGCACACACAGCAGTGTGTGTGTGTGTTTGTGTGTGTGGATATATCTATCTATATATATATATACATATATATATAGATAGATAAATATATATATAGATATATCCACACACACACACACGCGGCGTGTGTTTGTGCTTTAGGGTGCACACCCAAATGCAATAGGCTGCGCACGCCTATGTTTACACCACTTCTAAATTACCCGGGAAACAGATCTACTTGGCAGGTTGTTTATATTTATTAAACCATTTGTACGTTTTTTTTCTGTATTATTAGGTAGTGAGTGTCTTTTGTGTATTCTCTTTTTCTTTTTGTTCAGAAAGTATCTTTACCATGAATCTTAGCTCCCTGTCAATCATTGTTAAAGGACCACTATAGTGCCAGGAAAACATACTCGTTTTCCTGGCACTATAGTGCCCTGAGGCGCTGAAGGGGGAGGAAGGGGTTAATCCCTTACCTTTTTACCAGCGGCGGGCTCCCTCGGCGCTGGGACTCTCCTCCCTCTTCTTCTGTCATCGGCTGAATGCGCATGCGCGGCAGGAGCCGCGCGCGCATTCAGCCAGTTTCATAGGAAAGCATTAGCAATGCTTTCCTATGGACGCTGGCGTGCTCTCACTGTGAAAATCACAGTGAGAAGCGCGGAAGCGCCTCTAGCGGCTGTGAATGAGACAGCCACTAGAGGCTGGATTAACCCATAGGTAAACATAGCCGTTTCTCTGAAACTGCTATGTTTACTGCAAAAAGGGTTAAACCTAGCTGGACCTGGAACCCAGACCTCTTCATTAAGTTGAAGTGGTCTGGGTGCCTATGGTGGTCTTTTAAAGGCTTTGTCCTTTGCATCTGGCAGTCAGCATTGAGAATACTAAGAAGAGGAGAAATGAAACAATGTTTCTATTTCTACTCTTCATTTGCAATGTTTGTCCAGACTTTGCCTTATCTGTACTGAGTTGTGATGTAATTTTACCACATGACAGGAGGCTTCGTATTTTGCATATCTCTCTTTACTAACTCCATACAGCAGTAAAGAAACACAAATAATAAAGAACCAATCACAGGAGAGCAGGATGTACATAAGGCAATGTGACCTCATCATTTCGTCTTTCTTTACTGCTCCATCAAGCAGACAGGTCAGAGTATTACTATTCTCCATTACTTTATGTTTACAGTGCCTCTTTGAGGTTGCTTCTGTATTATATATTTTTATATACTTTACTGTATGTTCTTGCTGTGCTTCTGTACTATGTGCAGCTGTGTTTTTTCTATGTTATTTCATAGATATTAGGTAGATTTAACGTAATCCTTATTTCATAACCTTTAGTTGTGATTACTATCACTTGTAATTTATCAGTTTTATAGGCATTTCATACTTTGTTTTGATAAGTATTATATGTACTTTATATGTATTTAATAGATGTCATATGTATTTTATGACATGGATTTAATAGGTGTTAGGTGTAAATTTTATTATTGACTTAATAGGTTTTATGTATCATTTTGGTAGATGTACTTTATACCATATGTATCATGACTAGTGATGTCCTGAACTGTTCGCCGAACGGTTCGCAAACGGTTCGCCACGGACTCATCATTGAGTAAACTTTGACCCTGTACCTCACAGTCAGCAGACACATTCCAGCTAATCAGCAGCAGACCCTCCCTCCCAGACCCTCCCACCTCCTGGACAGCTCACTAAGAATGCAGCTTCACAATGGATGCTGTCCAGGAGGTGGGAGGGTCTGGGAGAGAGGATCTGCTGCTGATTGGCTGGAATGTGTCTGCTGACTGCAGGGCCGTCTTTAACGTGGGGCAAAAGGGGCAGCTGCCCCGGGCCCAGTTGCTCCTGGGGGGCCCAAGGCAGCTGCCTCTTGAGCCCCGCTGGCCACTGCCCACAAATTTGTGTCCCGAAGTTATCCTTCACCTTCACTATGCGAACGGCATTGCCGCATAGTGAAGGACTTACTTGGTGCTCCGCCTCCCGACCTCCCCTGCCATTTGTATGCCGCGCACGATGATGTCACGCGGAGGCGGAGTCACGGCAACGCTAGGGTGAGCGTTGCCGTGACTCCGCCTCCTTCCCGAACTGCAGCGCGGCACCTTCCTGAACTGCAGAGCGGCGCCATCCGGAACGGAAGGTCAGCACCCACTCCAGCCTTGAGCCCAGCTGCCCAACTGATCCTGAGCCTGCTGGAGTCTTCAGAACTGTAAGTATTTACATTAGTTAGTTACAGTAATATATATTGTTTTATGGGAGTAAGGGTGGTTAGAGGGGAGGGGGAAGGGTGGATGGAGGGGTTAGTAGTACAGTACTATCACATTGTTAAAAATAAAGTAATCTGTTAAATACTATATATTTGTGTCATAAGTTGTGCTTTTTTTAATTTTTATAATAATGATACAGCCATTTTATTTAATACTTTTGTGCTGATCCTTTTTTTCCCCTCTATATTCAAGGGACACTATAGTCACCAGAACCACAACAGCTAAACGTAGTAGTTCTGGTGTCTATAACATGTCCCTGCAGGCTTTTTAACCCCTTAAGACCGCAGGGCGTACTATTACGCCCTATTCTAAGCAGCTCTAAACGCCGCTGGGTACTTACCCGGTACTTACCCGGTCGCCGGCGGTCGCGGTAGGGGGGACTCCCAGGGAGCCCCCCGGGGCACGTCCGTCCTCCTCGAAGCCCCCCCGGCCATGTGAGAGTGGGGTCCTTGCGAGGACCCCACAATCACATGGCCGGGGGTAGCTGCCTCCTGCATTGCCATGATCTAAGTATATATACACATATACATACACACACGTACACCGTCTCTGTGTATTTTACTATTAATATATATATAATTATATATATATATTTATATCAAATTACACGTAGACTGATACTGATTAAATATATATATAATTATTGTTATATATATATTTATATATAATATAAAAAAAATAAAAATGTAAATACGTTAAAAAATAAAATTAAAAAAATAATTAAAAATAAATAATTAAAAATATATAGATGTGTGTTATTTCGTTCTAACTGTTTTGTGAAATTAATATATATATATATATATCAAAATACACGTAGAACGAAATAATATATATCTATATACATAAATATATATGTATATATCACTATATATATACCTATATATAAATAAAAATATTTTTAAAAAATTATATAGATATATACACACATACATATATTTATTCTACATATATATTAGGTATCTTAATTAATTACAATTCTACGAGTTGTGTTTTTTTTTGGTATGTGTGTGTGTGTGTTGTGGTGGAGGGCGTGATTGCATGCTAGGGTGTGGGAAGGCGGGATCCAGGGGGCCCAAGTAAATTCTTGCCCAGGGTCCAATCAATATTAAAGACGGCCCTGGCTGACTGTGAGGTACAGGGTCAAAGTTTACTCAATGATGAGTCCGTGGCGAACCGTTTGCGAACCGTTCGGCGAACAGTTCGGGACATCACTAATCATGACTTTTCTGGCGATTTTCCTGGCCTTCTATACCTGAGGCATCTGGGAACCCTCTTTCCCAGTTTTCCTCCTTCTCCCCAGGGTCTCATGGGAATTCTGGGTCTGGCTGGGGCTTAACCTCTTCCCTCCCGCGGTTCCAGTTGGCTCCCGCCGGCTCCAGGGCATTAACCCCTTCTTCTGGCCTATCCGTTCAACCCCTTCCTCCTACAACCCTCAGGAGGACGGCCGGACTCACTGCCCTCGCTCTCTCAGGCTGCCCCATACTGTACACCCGAATATGTGCTGGATGCTTTCCAACATCCACTACCTTGGTGCAGGGCAGTCTGTGGGGCGACCACGAGGTAGCCCGAGCATGATGTAGCGGCCATCTTTGATCCCGCGTCTACCGAGACTCCATGGACCACGTTCCCCTTCCTTTACCCTCGGTGACCATCTTTAATCTCGCGTCTCGCGAGATTATGGGCGGCTGTTTTGCTACTCTCGCCCACCACGATTTCGGCGCTCGAGAGTAACATATACCTGGGCTGTCACCTAGCCTAGCTGCTCTCGTGGCTCACGATGCTTTGACATGGACGTTGGACCCCAGTGTCCCAAGTTAGAATCCAGGCAAAGGTAAGTATTCTAACGGCCTATTATTTTCAGATTTGAGTCGTACTCATGTATAGTGGTTCGAGGTCTAAACATCCTGCTGACAAACTGTCAGACTTGGTCTTGTATAATTTCCCATTAGATGGTGTATACGTGGGTGCTCAACCGGGAAGACCTTCCCACAACGCCACTGGGTCTCTCGGCACACCTTAGGACTCTTATTTAGTTCTATACTCTTTTCTCAGCGTTAAAAATGCAAAATACGAAGCCTCCTGTCATGTGGTAAAATTACTCAATTATCAGATTATAGTTACTATATTCTCCAATGGGATGTTAGGAGGAACGTTAATTGGAGTTACATGTTCGTGACTATGTCTAAACCTGTCACACATTCTCTTTTCAGTATGATTCGTCTCTGAAGATAATTGGCAGTTCACGTGAAACTATTGGAGATTTTATCCTTCGGATTTGTCTCAACCCTGAACTCTTTTTCGTTGTTCTTATAGAATTCTTTGGAAGTTTGCTCCTTTGCACATGGGAACTTGGAGTTATTATTAGTTTTATTGTTTGCTATATATTTACTTCTGCTTTTTGTCGCTTTCTGAAAGAGGAAATGATGAGGTCACATTGCCTTATGTACATCCTGCTCTCCTGTGATTGGTTTTTTTTTTCTATGTGTTTCTTTACTGCTGTATGGAGTTAGTAAAGAGAGATATGCAAGATACTCGCCTCCTGTCATTATTAAAATTAAGATTGTTAAAACACTAAAGCTAGCATAATTACCAGATTTTACCAATTACATGACGTAAAGTCATGATTTTATAAAGGACACAGAGGCGAATATTATGCTTATCTCCTTCTTTATTATACCTCAGCAGCAAAGAGAAGGGATAAGACATTCATAGAAAAACTAGAAACAAGTACTCAAAGGGTTAACATAGCATCATAACCCTTAACCAATGGGAACAGTCCACATATCAATAACCACCCATGTGACCTTAACTCTCCCTCTTTCTTTGGTCATGCCGAAGCTTAATCAACTATAAAACTTGAGTAGAACAAACTGGAACAGCATATCCGGTATTCGGTGTGTCGAACTCCTCCATATGAACGGATCTGGTGAACTTATCCGCGGAACTGTGAAGATAACTGGTCATCCAAGACGTCAAGCTGAAATGGGATAGAGAAAGGAAATGGTAAAATGTGGTCTAGAGACTATTTGTCACAGTGATACTGGATAATTCGTACTATACACGTTATTGTCTACAGACTAAATTACATGCCGTAGTTGCTACTGTATGCAATATATTTACATCATACATAACTAATTGAATCTAGACAAAACCCAACGATGACTCTCAATTCTAAGACTTACCGGGTGGGAATTAAATTATTTTCTCTTAGCTGGTAGAAAAAATGAGATACCTACCGGGTGGGCTAATATTCGCCTCCGTGTCCTTTATAAAATCATGACTTTACGTCATGTAATTTGTAAAATCTGGTCATTTTATTAAAGGACACGGAGGCTCATATTATGCTAGTTTAAAGCTGTGCAATAACGGTCGATGATACATGGTCTGTAGGATGAAAATAATATTCATTGAAGGTGGATTCGCGGGACCAGTCCGCCGTTCTCAAAAGGTCTTCTAATCTGCATCCCAAAGTAAATGCCTTAGAGGGGCGTGGCTAACCGCCGAGCAAGATGGACGTCTAAATCTTTGCTCCGGCACGAGGGCTCCACTAAATAGCAAAATTCAACGAGCTGAAACCTCTACACTAACTAATACACCACGGCTACGTCCAAAGCAAAGAAAGCTGCACTCAAGGCAGAAAAAATGAATTTTTTTGGCCACAAATCCTCCTCCACGACGGAGACCATGCGGGCAGCAGAGCACGAGGGCGCGGATGGTATAGCACCCAGCCCACCGCTGACAACGCCGGATGACTCCCAGCCTATAGACTGCCTGACACGGAGCCACTTCGAGCAGGCTATGGATGCAATGGCAACAAAACTGATTTTTACATGGCAGGCGACGGCTGACCAAATTAAAAAGGAGGTGAGGGACCTATCATCCAGGACCTCTGCAGTGGAAAAGCACTATCAGGAGCTTACCTCCGCGCAAACAACAATCTCGGAGCACTTACAGGTGCTGCGCTGCAAGATGGAAAATATGGAAATGAGAATGGCGGACCACGAAGACAGGGCACGCAGGAATAACCTACGGCTCCGGGGAGTACCAGAAACAGTCCTCCCCGACGATCTGCAAGCCTATGCACGAGGCCTTATGAGGGCATACGCCCCAGACATACCTGCCGACATGCTCCTGATAGACAGGATCCACAGGGTGGCGAAGCCAAAAAACCTGCCGGACTCCATACCGCGTGACGTCCTACTTAGGGCTCACTATTTTCACATTAAAGAGCTGGTCCTCCGCTCTCACCGCAGCAGAGGAGGCACACACGTGGATTTCCCAGCAGTGCGCATCATGGCGGACATATCATCAGCCACTCTCCGCCGCAGGAAGGACTACACACAGACCACTACAGCACTCTGCAGCCACGGCATACGCTACCGGTGGGGCTTCCCCACGAAGCTGATTCTCTCCAGACAAGGGAAGACGACCGTTATTTCGTCGCCAGAGGAGGGCAAGCGCTTCTTGGAAAAATGGGGCCTACTGAAGGAGTCCTCGGAGGAGTTCCGCCTTGTCAACCGCAGCCCAGGCCGCACAACGGACATGAACTGATATACCTAGCTGGAAAAGTCAGCTAGACTCAACGCAAGTATCACTGTTTAATAACATGCGCTCCCTTACGACCAAGTTATTACTTATCTATGTATATATATTGACTAAATGCCACCCCTATAGAAAGTCTCCCATGCTGATGTGTCTATCCCAGTAACTCATCACCCCCACGGGAACCCACCTAGGGGCGACACTCTGTGCTGGGATAAGCGCTGCACGGGTGATGCCAAAAAAAAAAAAATAAAATATCTAACCTATGCCATTAGCTCAGGTCTATCCCCCTATATCCAATATTATAACACCGGATAGTGCCTTTGAACATAAAGAACGAGGGGCACATAGCATACAATGGAGGGGATACTGTACCGGGAAACCCTGGGACAGGCACATGTCCGCCTCAACGGCACTTCAAGGCATCCATCCCCACGACCAACACGCCAACCTTATAAATAAAAATAGCAGGGATCGAGTGGAAGGTTCAGCGACCCATAGGGCCGACTAACCAAACTCTGTTTCGCCAAACCCCACCTTGATGGCACGCATAAGCTCCGCGCCACACTACCACACTGGGCCCTCGGCCAATGAAGGTTTGACATGCCCCGTGCCACTCTAAAATACCTGCAAGCTAGCCAATACATAGGCGCACAACGGCAAACATAAACTTGCTGGACCCCTCCACATATGCTCCCCTGCTATGATGTATGTTCCCATCTAGGAAAACCCAAACCCAGGGCAACACACCAAGCGAACTCCAATGGCCCTGCGGGGATAGAGCAGCCCCCCCTTTCAAACTAACGGTACGAACGTAGGTATTGAAAAGATGTTTGCGTCTGTTATGATTACATTTTGTTAGTTTCATTTTAACCATACTGGTAAAATTAATTATTTTTTTAAAAGATTCCATTACAAAAGCAGTTTTTTTCCAGCCATCTGATATCTATTAAGTGCTGGAAAGACTGCCAGTCCCAGAAAGTAAATTTGAATGTGAAGATAACTGCTTCAGACATCCACCAATCTATTTCTCCTTCGTCTTCTTAAGAATTCCTCCTCTGTTTGGGAAAACAAATTTGTAATAAATCTTACAGGCCAGATCTATTTATGAGATGCACAGGGATAACATGAAAAGACCACGGGTTAATAAGTTTAAATAGATTTAAAAATAACTCAAGTAATAAATGGATCTTAAATCATTGCCTATTGTACAGCTTGTGATACTTAATATCCTGAAGTAGCCTTTGGACAATAAGTATTAAGAAGAAAGGAGCAGACTCGTTCCTTAGGTAGGAGGGAAACTGTCATGCTGAGCAGATTCGGAAATGATTCCTTTTCTGTGGGCAGGAGGGTAGATATAGACAATTTTCCTTTTTAAAAAAAAATCTTAATGAAATTGTGGCCTTTGTTGCATTTAGCACATCCCACACACATACAGATTTTTCTCACAAAGCTAACTGATTGCCCACCACAATAGAAATGAGTTTATACGCCCCCCTATATCTGCCAATCACCTACATACACTCAATGTAATATTCATGCTGGTTTGGGAGAAATCTTTATGTTCTGTGGTCGTAGAGCTGCGTGACGCAGCCGTCTGTCTTCATTAGTTACAGGTGAAAATTCCCTTAAAGGGACACTCCAGGCTCAATCAACATTTTTCTTAATTGCATTGTACAGATCAGGGGTAGGCAACATTTAGCACTCCAGACGATGCGGACTATATTTCCCATGATGCATTGCCAGCTTCATGGATGTAAGAGTATTATGGGAGATGTAATCCACAACATCCGGAGTGCTGCATGTTCCCTACCACCAGTATCGATACTGCATTACAAAATATACAAGAGTAACCAGTCCATAATATAAGATAAAACGCGTTGAGGCAAGACACCCAACACGCAGAGCTACAGATTAGTCAAAATGCTACCCAAAAAAACAGATCAAATGGGATAGCAATGTATTATACATCCTTAGGGGTGGCCACACTTATTGCATAGCCAGAAAGACATAAATCACCAGCAAATTAGTAAAGGAGAGTAAAAGAACAGGCCAAGGTCAGCTTCAATTTTGGCACCAGAATATATTGCACATTGTCTTTTAATACTTGCAGAAACGTCAGTCTTAGTGTTTTGACGTGAACCTTGAGGCATATAAAAGGATATTCTGGGATGGAGATCAGTTCCAGAATTTTTGCCAGAAAGAAACAAAGTAGCAAGTCTCTATGTACCAGGATTCAAACGCTCATTGGAACGTACCGTGTCAATGCTAGATGCAGCTGGATGCTGATTTGAGCCAGGTACCTTGACAAAAAGAAATTCTATTATAGTTCTTACCTTTTCTGCAATGCCACACATATTACAACACCAGCCTTCAGATTTGCCCACTCTAGCAGCCAGTTGTGACCAAAAAGATCCATTTTGGTCTATGGAATCTGAACCCTTGGACATGTTTAACTTAAAGGACCACTCTAGGCACCCAGACCACTTCAGCTTAATGAGGTGGTCTGGGTGCCAGGTCCAGCTAGGGTTAACCCATTTTTTTGTAAACATAACAGTTTCAGAGAAACTGCTATGTTTATAAATGGGTTAGCTTCCCCATTCCTCTAGTGCTATCTCATTGACAGCCACTAGAGGCGCTGCGTTTCTCATTGTGATTTTCACAGTGAGAGCAGCCAGCGTCCATAGGAAAGCATTATGAATGCTTTCCTATGGACGACTGACGCGCCTCTTGCGCCGCGCGCATTCAGCCGGTGAAGGAAGAGGAGGAGAGCTCCGCCCGAAGCCTGGAAAAAGGTACGTTTTTACCCCTTTCCAGAGCCGGGCGGGAGGGGGACCCTGAGGGTGGGGGCACCCTCAGGGCATTATAGTGCCAGGAAAACGAGTATGTTTTCCTGGCACTATAGTGGTCCTTTAAGTACTGCATAGAGGGCTTTAAATGTAAGGGGTGAGGAGCTGAATAGCTCTTTTTTGCAGAAGCTCAATTCTGTGTGGGGCAGTTGTTTATGGGACTTGTAGTTTAGTTTTCAGTTCACTAGCTCAATTACACACTAGAAAACCAGGACACTGAAGGTTAGGCGGGAGGAATGAAAATGGATTGTGCACAGATAAAAGAATTAGAGTAGTGGAAGAGTGACAGAGGAGGCAGGCCTAGGATGCAGAATGATGCAAAACATTTGTTTAAAAAAAACTATAACATTTAGCATGCAAAAATGCAACTAAATAGGCTAAAATATAGAAAATGCTTAAAATGTGTTTGGTCCAGGAATGTCCTTTTTGCCTATTTTTTTTTTAATGTATTTTTGTTTTGTTTTTTTCATTTAAATGAAGGTTGCCAAAATCAAAACGTATTCCATAGTTGTTCAACTAGAACCCACAAAAGTATATTAGACCACTTATCAATAAAATACAACTTTCTACATTAAAACCAAATTGCATTGAAAGAGCTCCAGTTATAACTCAAGCAGCTCTTGATAACCAGTTGCACAGCTGTGATAGTTTAAGTGCATTTAACAAATCTTCTTTGTGAAACATGGCAACTTTGACAAAACAACTTTTCAGACTGTTGACCTGCAAGGACTGTTTTGTAGTGATAGCTTAACAAACATAGCAACATTTAGCACGCTGTTTTTCTCTGGGAAAAACAGATTACTGCACGTTTGTGTTCCAGGTTTGTGTGAAAGTTATATTAGCTTCAAGAACATTATGATATTTAATTTGTACCAGCAGGCGCAATTGCAGGGATAGTGACTAAACTAAGAATTGCCAGGTATTGGCAAGGAAAATTATCATTTTAGGGCAAAACAGTCAGATTATTATTTTTTTTTTTAAAAAGATCTCCAATTTAGCTGATGTACCAGTTCAGCTAATTGGCCAGAACATTTAATTCCACAAAAAATATTGATATACTGAATAACCGTGTGGGTGAATTTTTTGATCACACTCCTGCTTGTAACAAAAGCATGCAAAAAAAGTATAGAAAACAAGCAAGTACAACGTGGACAAGTACAAAAAAAGGAGAAACGATTCCATGGGAAAACACCTCTGGAATCACGAATAGGAAGTCCCTCTACCAACCACATAAAAATTATTAAAACATAACCTTTATTAATACCTGAAGATAAAATATTAGAGTAATTAAAATGAAAAGACAGGTGTAAGAATAATGAAAAATGTCACCTATATTAAAGAGGATTCCCCTAGGACCATAATAGCAAAACAGCATAAATGAAAATAACTCATGTCCTATAGTATGTGTATGTGTTGCAATGATTGAGTTCCCAATGAATGTCTCTACTTGCCTTCTGCTGATATTCGGTACTACCAGACCCCACTCCTGTCATTAGCTGATAGCCCTTACCCTACTAGCAGCTCGAAACTTGATTGCGACACACAGGAAGTCCCCAGTATGCCCATCCCTCACACAACTTAGAGACAAAATTAATCAATTTTATGTATACCAGCGCATGTCCCCTGATACCCCAGCCAAAACTAGGAAATTTCAGGTAATGTGGGCTCCATGGTTGACTTTAACAAATCCTGATGATGGCAGTGGTTAGCGCCTTCCTCAGCCACAACACAAGGAGGGGGACCTACTGGCCCTTCACCCCCCCCCCCGCCCAATTTTCCTTCTCTAACCCCTCTCCTTCTGTAAACGATTTGAAATCCTTTGACAGTTGCACCCGGTGTGCCCACTTCCCCAGTTTTCCACTCCATCAATATCGCTAAGACACTCTAGTCGGACTGATGTTCCCTGCCAGATCTCCACAACCAGGTGGGGGGGACATTCCCCTCTAAAACAGTGCCTACGCCCACGTAGCTTCACATTTAGGGACCGACATTGAGGCCATCTAGACCCTTCAGGAGCTAAAACCTAAGCGCTATAGTTGTCCTTTAGACACTATCATCTCAGACGAGTATGTTTATTATGTTTATGTAACATTGTAATGTTTATACCAATGTATTCCATTATATGCTACACTGTATGCTCCAGACACCTAAGAGTGACCTTACGTCAATTGTTAAAATGTACCACATTGTATCAACAACATGGCTATGTAATGGAAGAAAATGTTAAAACCTTCAATACAATATAAATATTAAAAAAGACAGAGAAGAGAACCAATGGTGCAATATTTTTCAATAGGTGGAGAATACACAACAAGAAAAGTGTGAATGCCCATTCAAATGTTATAGAACTTCAAACCAGCTCCAGTTTCAATACCGTGCAGTGGTATAATCCCTACTTATGGATATATGTATCTAATTAATAACTTCGGTGGTGCTCAGTGATATGCAATAATACACAGAGGAAAAAGTGTAATATGACATTATATATTTGAAGTGAGTGGTATAACAAATAGGAGATACACTTACGAGGAGGGACCTTCCTTCTCAAACTCACTATTTCAAGTGTATCATTGTACAATGCCCACCCGAGGAATGTGAATTTGTCACAGTCTCTTTAACAGTGTAAATGTAAACATGAAAGAAAAAAGACACAATATAGTGCTCTTTGTTATATGCGTAAACAATAAATATTGGAACCGTACTCAAGAGCAACCAGCTGCTGCTGGCTCTGTCCCTGATCTGTCTCCTTGGCAGACATCATTAGAAGTGGTGAGAATGGGGTAAGGGGGACCATGTGGACTAGATGGTGTTTCAAACACCATAGGGTCAGGAAAACATGTTTGTGTTCCTGGCCCAATAGTGTTCCTTTAAGAGGGCCTTAATACAGAGTGGAGAAGCCTCCAAACAGGAGGAGGCAAGGATGTGAATGCAGCCCTGAAGTAAAGGGGACAAAATTGCAGGTCACATGCCAGAGAGAAGCTGTAGTATTAATTAAGATATTGGCTTGGGCTCGGCATTTACCATTGCACACGAGATTGGTCACATCTAGTAAACATCTAAATAGCTGTAAATGGTTAAAAATAACAAGCAGCTAAGTGCTATGGATATGAAAGTAGGTATCATCAAAAATTTAAAAGAAAAGATTTAAAAGTAAATATATCAAATAGTTAAAGGACCACTATAGGGTCAGGAACACAAACATGTATTCCTGACCCTATAGTGTTAAAACCACCATCTACCCCCCACCCCCCTTGCCTCCTTAAATATAGTAAAATCTTACTTGTATTCAAGACTGAAGCTGCAGGTTCTGCCCCTAAACTGCCTCTGTT